ACCGGGACGAGTGGATTACATTTTTGATTGATCGATTAGTTGTTGAAATCACCAAAAGGTCAGTGAATATGGGATTTTTTGTTCAAACAACTTCCAGAATATGATTAAAATACCTTGCAGACACATTTCATTCTGCAGTTTTGTAGTATTACCCGAGTCATAAAGTCGAGTTTGAGTCTATGTTAGGTTAAAAAAAGATTAAAGCTTGTTGACGGATCAGATTGTATTAATATCACAATTATTCTATTAAAAAGACAAAGTCAGCATTTGCACGGATAAAAATATTACATTGTTGTATATACAATATCATTATTATTAGTAAACAATGGTCATTTTGGCATGTTGGAAATGTTTAATGACAGAACAGCTTTATCTGGTTGGTACGATGTCAACTTGTGGATGGAGTCTTGCTGGACTCAGGACAATTGTTGGTATGGATTTTCCCCTTATCTGATAACCATGCCCCCCCTCCATGGGGGCTGGCTTGCACCTGGCTGACCCCCCCGGACCAATCCAGTGGAACCTGAGAGTATACCTCACAGCCAGTAAATAGAGAGCTGGGATGGACCAGTTTTGGCTCTTGGTCGGTGTCAACTCTCTAAGCAACATGTAGCGGCCTAATACTGAGCCTCCAGGGTTCTCTCTCTCTCTCCATCTCTCCTTGGGGTATGATGTTATGTCTGTATTTATCTTGTTATAATTCAGTGTCATTAAATGTCCTCTTTTATATCTATTGGTTTGGGCCTAGTACAGCAACGATTACATTTTCATGATAACAGAATGGCGTCACGTTGGTGGCACATAGTGCTTGAACTTGTGTGGGGGAAAGTTTAATTGTTGCTTTACGGATGGCATTAGGGGTACTTACTGTAGGTTACTACTGTGGGTGCTGGACATCTTACAGATGAGTGTGTATTTGGCTGTGCTGTATCTGCGCTTCACCTGAGGACTGGAGGAGAAGCCACCTGTACCGTTATGAGAATGTACGGGCAGTTTAAAAACACTGGTGTACTTTAATGTCCTGACACGCAAAGATAAACCAAAGTTAACTTGAAGGTTTCTTCCTAAATTAGAATTAGAGAGAGATAATCCAAAAAAACATTTTCCAACACAGAAAATAGAAAATAAAGAAAATAAACATAAGGGTGAAATCACTTAGTGATAAATGATTGGTTTGAATGGTTTGAAAATAAGAGGACAATATCAAGGACACAAACCGGGGAGTTTAGGATGTGTGTACATTTAAAGGAACCTTGTGTATTTTGTGTTTTATAAAAAACTATGGATTGATAACAAAAAAAATTACAAAGGGAAAATACAAGTAGCATGTTGCTAAATCTGGTGCCTTCTTTTTAATGTAACTGCACAATGTCCTTAATAAATTAAAGTTAAACTTAAAAGGTGAATTTGTGTCACCAGGCAAAGCTAACACAACGTGTTTATAACTGAGAATGACTCCAAAGTAAAAATGTTGAAGATATGGAGGCGGTGTCTAACTTATAACATATATAAGTATATATCACAGCCAGTATATAGAGAGCTGGGCAGGACTAGTTTGGGCTTTGGTCGGTGTCAACTCTCTAAGCAACATGTAGCGGCCTAATACTGAGGCCCAGAGCCTCTAGGGTTCTCTCTCTGTCCAACCATCTCTCCTTGGGGTATGATATTTTCTGTTATGACTGTATTTATCTTGTTATAATTCAGTGTCATTAAATGTCCTCTTTTATATCTATTGGTTTGGGCCTAGTATGTACAGCAACGATTACATTTTCATGATAACAACAATGATATGAGGTCAGTGGAGAAAAGAGTGGAAACACAATTTTACACAACATTGAAAAGGCTCATTTGTAAGTAAGTAAGTAAGTAAGTAAGTAATGTTTATTTATATACCGCCTTTCACAGACAGAGTCACAAAGCGGTTTACAATTTTTGGGGGATTTGTCCTCTTTCTCCACACAGAGATGGGAGCGGGGAATAATTTGGAAAATAAGCATGAGCTAAGTCATTGTTAAATGATAGTCCTACTACATTTGTTCAGAAGAAAATACATCTGCCAATTATTGACAATAGACAAAACATTTTAACTGTAGGGGAAGGGAATGTACAATGAATATCAATTTCAAATTATGGAGCTTTCGCGAAAGTTCACCGTGGTAGACCCGGCTGTTGCTGCCAGGCCACAGGCTGCTCTTCCTCGACTCATCAATACCAGCAACGCCCACACCCAGTCAACCAATAACCACCAGGACAGCAAGTTAAAAGCCGGAGACGCCCACTTCCCGATCTTCTGAAGTCTGCAATTTGTCTCCCCAGCTCTATACAGCCCACTCCTTCAGGATAGGCGCTGCCACAGGATAGGCGCTGCCACGCGCGCGACCTCGCTGGGGCTCCCCCACTCTTCTCTGCAACAGCTGGGGCGCTGGTCCTCTTCGGCTTCTCCACCTACATCAGGCCAGATGCGACCGCTATCATGGCAACGTCTACCGGCTTCCTCGTAAGCTCCCAGCAAAGCAAGTAAGCAATAAGATTCTGGTGGCGGCACGCACTTTCCTCAAACGCTCAAAGATTCCTTGCTTCAGCGTCTGGCTGAATATGAGCGTGCGCTCATATTCTCAGCTCGCTCAAAGATTCCTCTGCTGCGGCTGGCTGAACATGCGCGTGCGCGCATGTTCTCAGTTCGCTCAAAGATTCCTCTGCTGCGGCTGGCTGAACATGCGCGTGCGCGCATGTTCTCAGTTCGCTCAAAGATTCCTCTGCTACAGCGGCTGGCTGAACATGCGCGTGCGCGCATGTTCTCAGTTCGCTCAAAGATTCCTCTGCTACAGCGGCTGGCTGAACATGCGCGTGCGCGCATGTTCTCAGCTCGCTCATGCTCTCAGGCCCGCGCAGTGCGTCCTGCTATCCCAATCGCAGGCCCGCTTTTTGGGGATCATGCACGCGAGCAAGCGCCGTGCTCAACAGCATCCCGCCCGGGCCTAGGGCGCCAAACATGCTCAATCAATAAACATGCTTAAATCTAATAAGTCTAATGCGTTTTCCTCATGGGTCTCTCCAAGGTGAAATGGAGCTTTCGCGAAAGTTCACCGTGGTAGACCCGGCTGTTGCTGCCCAGGCCACAGGCTGCTCTTCCTCGACTCATCAATACCAGCAACGCCCACACCCAGTCAACCAATAACCACCAGGACAGCAAGTTAAAAGCCGGAGACGCCCACTTCCCGATCTTCTGAAGTCTGCAAGCCGCCGCCGCCCCACCTCCTCCTTCTCGCATGAAGCGTGTTGCCTACTGCCTCTGCCGTCACCAGTGCCTAGGCCCCGGGGGGATCATGCACGCGAGCAAGCGCCGTGCTCAACAGCATCCCGCCCGGGCCTAGGGCGCCAAACATGCTCAATCAATAAACATGCTTAAATCTAATAAGTCTAATGCGTTTTCCTCATGGGTCTCTCCAAGGTGAATTAAACTTATAGTGTTTGGTAGAAGGGAGGAGACAAAGTGCTTTAATTATTTAATATAAAGAGATCCTTTATTCATCCCACAGTGGGGAAATGTATTTAATGAATAAATACTGTTTCTCATTCTAATAGTTTGTTTAAAACAGGATGGCAATGAATGTGTGTATGGCTAGCTTGTTTTGCTGACAGTGGCACTTTTGGAGCGGCCATTTACCGTTTTCTAAAATTTTGCTGTCATGTTGTTGTAGCAACCTAACAGTGGCAGTGTAAAAACACCCTCAGGCAAAGCGGAGAATGTGTTAGTATGCTTTCAAAGGAAATGTATTGACATACAATACAAAACAATACAATTTATTCTTGTATAGCCCTAAATCACAACAGAAGTCATCTCGCTTAACAAAACCATTGAAATGACCAACACAGATCCGAGAATCAACAGTTAAGAATATAGAACACGTGTTGAGAAATGTCCATACATTTTGTTCTGGATGATCACCACATCCTTTTAGTTGGACACTAACTGTCTAACAGACCCTCCTGCATCGGCAAGGAAAAACTCACAAAAACCCAGTGGGAAAAAAGTGAGAAACCTCAGGGAGACCCACAATTAAGAAAGGGATCCGCTCCACACGGACAAACGGGCTATAGATCCAGGACCTAAGCTGAACATGGACTTGGACTGAATTATTTGTTTTTACAAATGAGTGAGAGGACAAATGCCCACAATTGTAAACTGCTTTGTGACTCTGGTCTGTGAAAGGCGGTATAAAAATAAAAATTACTTACCTAACTACATATAGAGAACACATCTGTTGAATGTGTTGAAAGTAATGAAAATGAAAACAGTTTTGTCAGGAACATTTTAATGGAAAAAACAGGTGAGAGGTACATGTCAAATTATAATAAATGGGAAAACATCTGTAAGAACAAAAAGCACAAACATTTTAGCTGATATAAAAGTTATGCTGACTGTAAAAAAACAGGATATGTTGAAATACGGCACAAAAAATACAAAGCATAGCACAAAAGGAATAAAAAAACAGAAGCGTAAGAATAAAGTAGAAGTGGATATTGTGAGGCAATCTTGTTTATTGCTCAGTTACTGGCTCATTTGAACTTTGAGCATTGCCAGCATTGCAACTTGCAACTTGCAAACCATTGCAAATTGAATTGTATTTATGAGCATATTTTGACTGTTTTTAAAAGTTTGTATATTTTCTTCTCTTAAGCTCCTTCCCTTGATTACAATATGAATTCAAGATACTACATCAGGATGTGAGTTTTTATGACAAAATCATGTTATCCACATGCTTTCATAACAAACCTGCCCGAATCATTGATTGCACGCCTCAGCCAATTGTAGAGAAGGATTTCTGGTAGGGCGGGCTCAGGACTCAGTAGTTTAAAGTACAGTTCACAACAGTATCAACACTGACTCATAACAGGTCTAGGGCAGAACTAGACAAGACAGGACTAAACCAAAGTGCAAATTTAACTGGAAATTTTGTAAATTCAGGACTCAGATAGAACTAAACCAAGAGTCCAGAATGAGAGACTTGAAGACCCAGAATGAGTCTGAGGCCGATACCTCGTCTGGATCTGATGACCTTATCTTCTTTGTCAATGGCAAAAAGGTAAACAATTTTTATTTAGCTAATCTGAAATTTACCCATTAGAGAAAAGTCTAAGAAGGGCATTTATATATTCTTTGTTCATTCATTGCAATTGTGATGTGATTCGACAGCAATTAATGATGTTTCATTTTTGAAGTACCTAAGATGCTCCAATGAGGTATTGTTCAGTTACAAGTGCGCTTTAGATAGATATAGTTACTAAAGAGTGATCTACAAAATGGTTGAGGAAACCTTCAAAGGTTCAATAACCTTAATGCCTTAATAACACAATGAATGTGTCTGGACTAAACTAGGTCATGCTAAACAGTTTTATTCTAACACTTGTTTTCACATTCATGTATGTGTGTATGAAAAAAAGAGAGAGGGCATGAACACTAGCCACATGGTGTGAGACTAGACAACATACCCACTCAAAGTGTTTTGATTCAACTTCATACCTATATTGGAACCGGTTGGATAGGTAATTAGGCAAACAGTATATCAACTGATGAAGTGCTGAGTGATGTCACCCAAACTATTTGTGGAAGAAGTTCAAACAGGCTCCATGGAAAAATAAGAGCCAAAAAGTGCTGGTCTGTTTGTGTTGCATTTTTCCAAAAGTTGAATTTGGACACAGAAAGCACATGATTGGTCAGTTGTTAGGGATTTAGGGATCATATCTGGATTTACAAAGACATAATTCAAATATAATCACAAGGATCACCTGTATGAGCGGAGCATTTAACTACGGATTTTTAAGCCCTAAAGAGTGAGTTAAATGGTTAGAGAAAGAAGTTGTTTACTTTTAAATGTAAGTTAAATGACCAAATTACCTGGGTTGGAGCAATACGCAAAAAAAAAATTACAGCCTTAATTTAATCAAATATGTATTTTGCAGCAGCCAATTGAATAAGTTTTTACTGTAGGGTTACCAACACATTTGTTTTTTGAACAGTGCACTGTGGCAAAACCATTTTTGCTTATCTATATATCAACTTTTCCCATGCTTTTTTAAATTTACATACTGTCATAGGCTGTTTTTTCTTATGGATTCTAAGGATAGGACACGAGGACCCAGAACCTGTGTGGATTTGGCTGTAATTCTTAAAAAGTGTAAAAATAAGATTTCGAAAACCAACAAGTGCTGGAATTAGTTTCATATATTTTTAGTCAAAGCCATATTATGATTTATCAAAGCACAGAATTTTTTTTATCAAAGTTGTTAGGTTTTTTATTGATTCATTCTATTGATTCTATATCTTGTTTCAACCCTAACTGTAGCTAGTAAGTAAGTAAGCTTTATTTATACAGCGCCTTTCACAGACCAAGGCCACAAAGCGCTTCACAGTTAAAATAGTCAAAATACAATTTAAAATGTGCGTACAAAAAATATAAATATAATGGCCAAGACAACTCAGTGACAAGTTTGAAACAGCCGCAAGAAAATTATGGAAAAGCTTGACCAAATAAATTGGTTTTTAGCTGACTTTTGAATTAATCAACCGACTCCATCAGCCACAGAGAGCGAAAGATTGTTCTAGAGCTTAGGCGCAACAGCCTGGAAGGACCCGTCTCCCCTGGTACGAAAGCGAGTGCGCGGAACCATCAACATGTTCTATCCACAGACCTCAGGTCCCGAGTGGGGGTATAAGGCTGAATCAGATCGCTGATATAAGGGTTGCCTGAAAATGCAAAGCTCTGAACGTCAGCACCAATATTTCAAAATGTATCCTGTAGGACACGGGCAGCCAGTGGAGAGCTTTGAGGACCGGGGATATGTGAGTCCTCCTGTTTGTGTGCGTGAGAAAAACACTTTTCAAGCAGTAACTTATCATTATCATAATTTTTCCTGGGAAATGTGTTTTAGTTCAGTTTAAATTCTAGTGGATTTGAGTGGACAGCACAATATCTGCTCTCAATGTAGCTTAATTGCAGTAATTTTACTCTTCACCACACTCACAAGGTGCATGAATAATGAGTGAGCAGTGCAGACATGACCTGTGACCCCGCCCCCTGGGACTACAGAAGAAAATGTGTCTTTGGTTACAATCTGACATAATGTGCCCAACCATATATGTTCATTGACATGTACTATCCAAGTCAAATAATTTAAATACAAATACAGTAAATACAAAATCAAATACAATACATACAGTCCAGTAATGCAGTTATTCCATGAGCAATTTCCTAATGAATAATTCTCCAAACACTGCAGAACTTACAATTCCATATGCTCTCACAATGCTGTCTCGTGAGATGCTCATGAGGCCGTCAGAGGAGTGTGATCATGTTGTGAAACCAATGGTAATTTCACACACTCCACACAAGACCTCAGACAAGGACTAGAGCAGGATTACAACTCAACCAGGACTATTTATGGACAAAAAGAAAGTCCTTGTTCTTAAATGAAACCAGCCTGTGACTGATGCAATATTCTATTTAAACTAGTCGTGCCTAAAGTGGTCTGAGGTCACACCAGAACAAAACTTGATCCAAACCTGATTTGAACCAGGACTAAGCCAGATAGAAACCATATCTCTACCAAGAGCAAACCAGGTCTTAACCAGGGCTGACCCAAGTTATAACCAGGGCTGAATCAAGTTATAACGAGGACTGAACCAGGACTGAACCAGGACAGTCAGTTATGGGTTTGGAGTCTGAGAGAGTGTTGTGACACGTGCAGCTGTTACAGAACATTACTATCAGGTTTTGATCAAACATTAACTTGTTCCTCATAACCTGAATTGGACTCACGCAATTCCAGAAAATTTAAGAAAAAAAGCGTCGAACATTTTGATTTAGCTATGAATGTTGATAGTTGTAAATGAAATCAGCTACAGTAACAGAGCAAATATCTTAAGTCTTATTTTGAGAAATTCTCATTTAAAGTTGTTTTTTTGAGTTGACGAGTTCAACATTTGGTAAAAATCTTCAGAAAAAAACTTGTGTGTTTTATCACAACATGTGTTGTATATTCACTTAGTTATTGTTCTTATACTATTACATCTTTCTTATAGATGACAAATACCTCACCTGAAGCTTTTCATTTGTTTTAGAAAATAATTCCAATATCCATATTTGCTCTTTAAGACAAGCTTACTCCTGGCTGCACAAAAACACACAATGAATGTGTGAAATTGTCTCATACTTTTTCATTGTAGAAAACGTTTTTATCTATAAGATAGCTCTGCATCAAAGTTCATAATAGACTGTGCTCTTTGATCTTATCAAGTGACAATAGACTAGAAGATATAATAACAGTACTAAGGATTGTTTTCATTATGCAGGTACGCACTCAGCTTTTCGGGCGGCACGGTGGCTGAGTGGATAGCACTCTCGCCTCTCAGCAAGAAGGTCCTGGGTTCAAATCCCGGTCGGACCAGGGCCTTTCTGAGTGGAGTTTGCATGTTCTCCCCGTGTCTGCGTAGGTTTCCTCCGGGTACTCCGGTTTCCCCTACCACTAAAAATATGTCCAATAGTTCTAGCATGCGCTTCCTGTACTGGCGACCCCGCTCCCATCTCTGTGTGGAGTGAGAGATAAATGCCCAAAATTAACAATTGTAAACCGCTTTGAGACTCAGATCTGCAGTGAAAAGGCGGTATATAAATAAAAACTTACTTACTTACTTACTTTTCCCTCTAAATGTGTTTTTTATAGCCTACACTTTTAGGGGTCCATATGGGCCGCAGTGTTGGCCGACTGAGAACTACTGACCAATAAACACAACAACTACATGTGTTTTCAACAACTGTGTGTGTTTTCAAGCGCATACGTTGAACTCATGTGTTGAACAGAGGTTTGGTGCCGTTTGGAGGATTGCTCTAAACATGAGTGCTTCTGTCATTTTCTTTTACAGATTGTTGAAAAGAACCCTGACCCAGAGATGACCCTCTTGTTCTACCTGCGAAGAAAATGTACGAACTCCTCCAGCCTACTTTATTTCACACAATGCACCAGTACAAACAAAAAAATGTAAATGATGTAGTTTGGTTGACGATTCACTCGGACAGGAGAGAAATGACGTCACTAGCCAGACAAACAGAAGTTCATGGAGTGAACTTCTGTTTGTGTTAACGCTTAATTTTGTTGTGTAGACAGTCTGAATATGTTCAATAGTGATACATAGTAGCGCTCCTATAACTGCATGCTGACGCAATGCAAATTCTGTTTGTGAGAGAAATGACTTATTCAAACTGCATAACTTTCCCATAGATATACCCAGGGAGACATGGAACAAACCGTACTGTATGTGCATTCAACAACTGTCCCGTTGAGATTCATCGTGTTTGTCATACAGTCAGGATAATAACTTGACTATTATTGCAAGCACATTTTTATTAACAAAGATTATACTGGTCAATCTAGAATGAGAGGACTTTGCATCCTGGCATACACCTGTACGCAAAGCATAATTTCTTCTAAAATCAAGAATAGATTATTTTAAATACTCAAGATCAATGTTTTTTTGCGGTGTTATCATTCCTTAAGGACCTTTTGTAAGACCCTTATGGTAAGGACAAGGATGGAAGGACAAGGATGAAAATGAAACCCTGATGCTGGTCTAACCTGAGACAAACTGTGGTATAACTTTAGTTTAACTTTTGTCTAACCTTAGTTTGATCTGCTTTCAGTGGGTCTGACTGGGACCAAACTGGGCTGTGCTGAGGGCGGATGTGGTGCCTGCACCGTTATGATCTCTCGCTTTGATCTGGACTCACAGCGTCCTCTGTATCCTATATATAATTATATAATTAATTATTATATTTAATATTTAGTTATTGTGTTGTCTAGACAGGAGTGAAATTCAGAGAAAGATTTTAATGTTTCATGAAAACAAAACGTGTTGTAGTCAATATTCACCACAAACATTCAATATTAATTTGTTTTGAATCCCATTCCATAACATTTATGTCCGTCCGTCCCTTATGGAACATGGCTGTAAGTCATTGCATTCCCTATGTTTGAGCTGTTTGATTCCCTCATTTGTGTTGGCGAACCGACAGCTTTGTAAAGTTATCCGAGATAACTACTGTTGTGATGGGATTTAGGGCTATGCCAAAATAAGTGGAATTTAATCTATTCCTTGACCGTCTGCAGTCATCTCGCGGTGAATGCGTGCTTGGCTCCTCTCTGCTCTCTGCATCTCTCCGCTGTCACCACTGTTGAAGGCATCGGCTCCACGGCCCGGAAACTGCACCCAGTCCAGGCAAGAGAGTTTCGCTTCTCCTTTGTAGAATTAAACAAAAACTATGGACTGAGCGAGTTCTGACATTACCAATAGTGTTTGTCTTTGCCTGGAATGATTGGTCAGTTGTTCAGGGATATTTTTGCAAAGAATTAATCAAAATACAAACAATATTCTGAAAACCAACACATGTTATTCAAGAAATAAAAAGTTAGTTACCCCGGCAGTATTAATGATCACATGCACTTGCAATTTGGAAACAAGGTATTGGTCTTCCTGGACCTTGGAAGGGCCTCCTGTTAGCTTGTTCTAACGGTGAAGCATGTCAGAAGTGTTTGAATTATGGTTTCATTTTCAGGAGCGCATCTCTCGGGCTCACGGATCTCAATGTGGCTTCTGTACACCGGGACTCGTCATGTCCATGTATGCTCTGCTTCGAAACCACCCCAAACCCAACATGGACCATCTTCATGAGGCTTTTCAGGGTATAATGCCTCTACCACTACTACTACTACTGCTACTGCTAATACTGCTGCTACTGTGTCTCTCTATTGAAATATCATTCGACTTTACAAGTTAAAGTTTTATGGACACTTTTTCAGACTTTGTCCTGTTTTCCCTTTTCAAAAACTTGTAAAAGCAGAGGTTTAATACAACCATCAACATGAGGACTTGATATTGTTATTTGTCTCAAAGCTACAGAAAGGAAACACACATTTGCTGATGTGAAGATTGGTTGCAAATGGAGGACAGTGCAAGTCTCACAAGATCAAACGTACAGGTTATTAATTGACAGATGAGAGACACATGCTCTTATGATGCGCCAACTGGGGTCTTTGAGTTCAGATTTTACACAGCTGCTAACAGAGCTGATTTAAATTACAACCTTTAGGCTAATTTGTTTTTGGAATTTCTTAATATCTTATTTTAAGAAGCTATTGATTGTCTCGGGTAAAAAATCTCATTGATCTTTACACTCTGGGATCTGCCGTTTAAGAAGTAAAAAATCCATGTACCCATAGAATCACTCAAACCAAGAGACATTTGTCTTTCCACCAGTTAAATCTGATAAAAGATATTTTCGAAGCGAGAAACTACAAATCAGTGAAAACTAATTGGGTTCTTTTAGTTATAATGTGCTGCACCTATTGCATTTATTGAAATTAGATTTTTTTAAACTTCTTTTTTTTTTTTTTTTTTATTTAACACCATGTGATACAGATTCCATAAAAAACATAAATTACTATGTACAACATAGTAGTGCAGAATATATTGGTGGGGGAGGGAAGGGGGAGTGGGGGGGGGGGGGGGGGGGGGGGGGGCATTTTTAAGGCATCCAGAGCATGAAACAAAGAAAACAAAATACTTAATAAAAAAACTAAATAACAAGCAAGTACTGTCGTGGAAATATGTAGGTTCTAATGTGTAAGTGTGGGTGTTAATGTATTTGAGTGTTTGTGTATATGTATAAATGTGTGACCATATGTGTCTGAAGAAGAAATAGAAAAACCGAACAATAACAGTAAATAAAACGAAAAAAATAAATTAAAAAAATAAAATAAAATAAAAAATAAAAAAACAAAAAAAATAAAATGAGTGCTGCCACTTGCTGTCTCCACAGATCCCAGTAACGTATTTTGGCTGTTTATGTGACAATATATTGATTTGCTTATATTATTATTTGTAATATATATATATATATATATATATATATATATATATATATATATATATATATATATATATATATATATATATATTTTTTTTTTTTTTTTTTTAAACTTCTGTTTGAGGCTATATATAATGTACATAATAGATTTAAAAAGCAGATGTTTCATAAATGTGAAGTCGAGGAGTTGCTTTTAGGTTCCCAAGTATTTTTTATGAAATAGTGCTTGCATTTCTGTGCAATTTTCTATTTGGAAAACCTTTTATTAGTTTGTGGTGATATGAAAATGAAACATTAAATCATGTGGGTGATCGTGGTGTACTATTATGATACACACACTGCCACTAAGATGGCTGAGGAAATGATTAGTCTTGTTGTTAGACAAACCATCATAACAATGTCACCCTTAACAACACAAAGATTATGTGATTCCTCTAAGAAAAATCACATGGTCTGTATCCACTTCATTCTCTATTCGCAAAAAACAACTAATCTGTAAAGACCAGAAATGTACACATTTTATCTTAAACCTAGATTTTCTAAATGGAATGTCACTGAATGCTTTGTTTGTTGATTTCTGCTGAATAGGCAACTTGTGTCGCTGCACCGGATACAGGCCCATTCTGGAGGGCTTCAAGACCTTCACTCAGGTACAGACAGACAGGGCTTACTCCATGAGAAGTCTGGGTTTCACTGATTTCCACATTTCCAGGATGGAGGCTGTGGAGCGACACAGAGCGGCTGCTGTCAGACCAAAGACCAGGGTCCAGCCCAGGTGAGACCATCTTGACCATTTTATACCGATATACCCATGCCGGAACATTCTTGCAGTGGTATTTTAGTTTCACAAAGACATTTTCAAGATATGTTGCTGTTTTTTGTTCATTATATAAGTCCTCACCTTTTGTGCAAGGTACCTCCCAAACCTTACACTCCTGATAAAAGTCAAATCTAAAAGTCAAATTTAGAAGCCTTCAGAGTACCAGTATCAGAGTACTTCGCTTTCCAACCGATGTGTGAAAAATATTTTTTAAATTTCTCCATTTCCCATTGAAATTAATGGGCTTCCTGTTTATCAGGGGGCGTAGACTCATGTCTTGAGTTGAGGAACATGTCTACTGAATTTCGTGGCTCTGTGACAAACTTGACCTCGGACCCTCTCCCATAGGCGGTTCTGAATTTTGGGCAACATTTTCATGTATGTTCAGGGGGTCAAATTAAGGCTCAAAGCGCAGAAGAAGAGAAAAAGAAATAAACCAAACCAAATAAGGAACTTTTTTCAAAAATCTTTGAGCAAAAATAATATAGGTTTCCTTAGTAACCTATATAACAAATGATACGCCGTTTTAAAGCCAACGAGCAGACAAACGCAACTATTGGGTTCTCATCGATTGACGAGCACTGACACGCTCCTCAATCACCTCGACGTCATGAGATCCCCCACCCCCTCCATAGGACCCCATTCATTTAACTGTGTACTACAGCAGGAGTAAGGCTAATATCAGTGTCTGGGCACTCGCCCGGATATTCGTCCGTAAGACAGTTGAGGTAGCCCACCCCTTTAATAGGACCTCGTTCATTTCACTGTGTACAACAGAGTGAAAAAAGCCATTCCGTGCCTCCGGCACGGATTTATCAGTGTTTGACAGAAGTGGGACCAAGTAATTGTTTTGCAAGTCACAAGTCAGTCTCAAGTCTTTGCCTTCAAGTCCCGAGTCAAGTCCCGAGTCAAGTCCCAAGTTAAGACAGGAAAGTCCAAAGTCAAGTCCAAAGTCCAATCGTTTCAGTTTTGAGTCCGTTCAAGTGCTTTTGACAACAGATAAATAATATTTAAGTAGATACCTCTAAGATTTGTATATATTCATTAAACCTTTTTTTGCAAGAACTTTGTTCGAACACTCAATTGACTCAATCATGTCACCACTTTATAAAAAATATCCTCACACTCAAAATGTAATACAATTAAATCCATATTAAATCCAAATTAAATCCAAATTAAATAATCTACATGTAATACATTCATGCCTCTATCAGTTCAGGTTGCTCCCTTGATAAACAAATGGCATGCATCCATAGATGTGTGACTGGCAGGAGGGGTGCGAGGCCCTACCCTGACACTTTTTGCCCAGATCCAAGGAAAGTTATTCCTGTTATAATATTTGACATGAATTGAGCACCGCCTCGCGCGGTCCATGAAGAGAAATAGCACGCGTGCAGCTGCGTGTCTTTGCTACAATGCAGACGCATTGCAGACTCACACACGCACGCACGCGCACACACACACACACGCACACACACAGACACACTGTTGGTCGGGTCTCTGACATGGCTCTTTCGTCCTGTGGCAAAATGGCATAGCAACTCAAAAGATTGAGCCAAAAGGAGTCTTCTTCTTCTTCTTCTAATAGTTAGATTTTGGAAAAATGCGTCAATATTTGTTGTATTTTTCCCGATCAAATGATGTTTTTGCCATCGCCTCCACACACTCGGACCACCACAAGTTTTATGCCCACTGCACTCGCAGTGGGTACTAAAGCTGGGCATATGCTGTTTGCTAATGCTTTTATAATGTTTTTGATGTGTACATTTGTACTAAACATTAGCAGCAGTGCTCACACACCTGTCTCGCTCCTCCTCCTCCACCTCCTCTGCTCACACAAAGGGGTCTGCTCCTCCGCTCACACACCTCTGTCCCTTCCTCACACAGAGGACGCGAATGTCCATCTCTCCGTACACCGGGCTCATTCCTGTTACTTTCTTCGCCTCTAACTCACTCAGATTTAGACACTGCTAAAGTTATCTGACAGCTCCGTAAAGTTTTGTCAAAGGACCCCGCTGCGCGGTTTGATGGTTGTATTTCAATTGGCCGAGAAAACATTAACGATAGTGTATGATGTAGTGTGAGTGTACTAGGGAGTTATAGGTTATATGTCACAAAGGGGTGTGTTCCACCCCTTTCTACGAGCTTAATATGTTTCAGAACGGAGGCTGCTGCCGGGGGAGAGCTGAGGGCTGCTGCATGGACCAGGACCAGGGTCTGGACCAGGAGCAGGACCAGGGTTTAAGCGTCACTCTCTTTGACCCCAAAGACTTCATGCCCTTTGATCCAACACAAGAGATCATCTTCCCCCCTGAACTCAGCGTACGTTTCAGCACCACGGACAGCAAACTTTAAAAAAAAAAAAAAAAAAAACTGCAACTACTGCCAGACTGAAGCTATCACATGATCTTTACACAAGGCCTCATTCAAGTCTTCACTTCATAGTTTTACCACACTTATAGGAACACATATAGGGCATCAATTCTTTCATAACAGTGTAGACATTGTGAACACGGAAAATGGAATGCATATGGTATATTATGTTGGTAATTGATTATTAAAAACCTTGTGTGTAAAGATTGTTAACACCATCAAACTGAATAAAACTGAAACTTCATACAATTGCCACAGCACAATAGCCTGACTAAATATCACAAGTGAATATTTAGCATATTTTCTCACAAGTGAATATTTAGTCATTCATTTAAGATGTCATGTGGCTTAAGATCATCAGTAGCTGAAGTTCATAACCAAAAATTTGACCGGAACTGAAGAAGCGAAGAAGGCCAATGGTGTTCACACAATGGTGCCGTTCACAAGTTAAACAAATGGGAAGATAGCTTATAGCTTGTAATAGACAAAATGTATCTTAATATAAGCACATTTTGAGTGTCTTAAAACAAGAACAAGAGAACAAGAAATATATTCTCATATTAAGATAAACACTACATGATTGGGGCATTTATAATTATATTTATACTATTTTTTCATAATTATATACACAGTATATGTCACAAGGTGAGATGATTGAGGACTCAAAATGCAGGAATGCCAAAAATAATGATTTATTAAAATAAAAGTCCAGGTAAAAACTCAAAATCCAAGGGCACAAGCAAAAAGGAAACAGGAACAAACAGGAACAGACATGGACAAGGCAAAGACAATGGACCAGCAACAAGAGGAAAGAAGCACAGGGTACACAGACACAGACCCAGGTGAAACACATCAGGGCGGGGCAGACAATCAACAAAGGGAAACAAGACAGGAAGTACTTAACTAAAACCAAACTGATGTCAAAATAAAACCAAAGTACATACATAAAATCCACACCATGACAGTATATTTTTTAAATCAAGCTATGGCCACAGCAAACGCTAAAACTATGGTGTATACTTATTCAAAAGTCCATTCAACTTATAACGTGAAAGTATTATATGGATGACTCATTACACATAAAAAAGTTAATGAATGTTATTTATATAGCACCTTTCACAGTACATGTTTGTAGTGGTAGGGGAAACCGGAGCACTGGGAGGAAATCTACGCAGACACGGGGAGAACATGCAAACTCCATTCAGAAAAAATAAAAAATAAAAATAACAATTATAAACCGCTTTGTGACTCTGGTCTGTGAAAGGCGGTATATCAATAAAAGAAAGGCCCTGTTCCAAGACTTTATTTTTCATATTGTTGGTAATTGGCTCACAACTTGTAAAAACCTACATTTTTAAAAAATGGACTGCAAGCCATAATCATCAAAGTTATAACAAACAAGGCTTGACATGCAGTATGTCACTTGGCATGTAGTGAGTCTATATCATGTATTTGTGTCACGTTTTAAGTTTACATACAGAAATAAATTCACGTTATTCTTATTCTCTGAGTTTCACCTAGTTGCTGTTTGTTATAAGAGTCAATAGCCCACGTCCAGCTCTAGTTTCTAACATGAATGATTAGAACAAAACAAAGCTACACATGGTGATATTTTTTAGTCTCAAACAATCATTACATACGCTGAGAATGTAGGAAATTGTACCAGCCAGAGTCTCAGGTTTAGAAGTTTCTATACCAGACAACTGCAACATTGTCACCCTATGCACAGTCAAAAAGATCAGTTTCCATTTTCAAAGTAAGCTTGTGATTACTTTTCTTGTCTGTCCAGTCAATGACCCGGTCAACAAAGTCCCGGTCTCTGGTCTTCAGAGGTCCACGTTGTATCTGGATCCAGCCGGACTCTTTGGATCAAATGCTAAAGAGGAAATGGACAGACCCCGAGTCCAGGATAGTAACCGGGAACACGGAAGTGGGTCAGTACAGAACCTGGACTTAACCAAAATGAGGATTAAACCATATCTAACCATGATTTTGTGTTTAACAGGAATTGAAATGAAGTTTAAACACTTGGTGTATCCGGTGATGATTTCTCCCACTCAGGTCCCAGAGCTGAACTCAGTGCGACACACAGAGACAGGTAAGTTTGTCAGACTGTGGAAGGGGGATGAGAACACATTCTCAAAAGCATTCAGAAACCACTGGCAAATCCACAGAAAAGAGCTCCACAAGCTTTCATCACGTTCCACAGATGGGCAGGTCCTATATGGATAAACATGTCCCCTTTCCGCAATTGGTCAATAAAAGGACAACAAGGAGGGGGGGGGGAGGTGAAAGACAGAAAGAAAGTAGGGGGTTAAGGAGGGTCAAGGTGAGCATCAAGAGGAAGCCCCACAAACCAAGGTGACTTCACTCAAATAATAAGTAAAAGACAGCTGGATCTCAGCGAGGACCCGTACTGATCCATGATCATTCCCTATAAACACAGAACTCAATAATCTTCCACAAACGCATTCCCAAATTCTTAGTCTTCACCCAAATTTAAAAGAATTATTTGTAAAACATTACCGCTCAAACTGCTTTAAGAAATGCTCAAGTAATCTTTACCTTAAAATGTGTAAAGGATCTGTTAGGGGAGGGCTTTGCCTTTGGACTCATCTCTCTCTCCGTCGCAGTCCTATCGCTGCAGACACTTTTACTGATGTGGATTTATTTTGGCAGGTATTGAGTTTGGCGCTGCAGTGACCCTCGACCACATGGGGGCGGTTCTACAGGACGCTGTGATGTCACTGCCCGTGCATCAGACAGAGGTGTTCAGGGCCGTCCTAGAGCAGCTGCGATGGTTCGCCGGGAAGCAGATCCGTAATGTGGCTGTGAGTCAGACACAAACAAATTAGATGTTCTTTAGATAAAGACAGATACATGTTTAAACAAATAAACCTTTTTACTGTTTTGCAAATTATCAAACCACGAATCTTCCAAATATCAAAGCATCCAAATAGGTAATCCAAAAGGTTTTTACACATTTTCAAGGCATTGTATGTATGATGCACTCCTTGTAGTCAAATAAAGTCTTCGCAATCAAATTTTGTTTCCCAAATCTTCCTGTCTTTGACACATGTAGCGCCTAAGAACTGATTATTGATGCAATCAGTAGCTAAAGTCTAACTACTTATTTTTGTATCTACACATTTTTGGGGGCGACAGTAGCTCAGTTGGTAGAGCATTGGCCTTTAGGCCTGAAGGTCGTGGGTTCAATTCCCATGTTGACACCTTCTCCACCAACTCCCACTGATGTCTGCTGTTGTTGTGTCCTTGGTCAAGACACTTAACCCCACTTTGCCCAAAAGCCCCCGATGAGAGATCATGGCTATGCTCACATTGACAGCAGCCTGTGGACTCACCACCTGCAGAGGATCAGTGAGGGGCTGGTGCTATGAGACTTGGGTGGCAGCTCTGACTGTCACCCCCCCGACCCAGAAATGGATTAAGGGGAAGAAAATGGATGGATGGATGGATGGATGGATATTATTTGTTTGTGAAGTTAACAAACTGGCAACCCAAATGAGAGACTCTTTCTGGTCTGATAACCATAAACATATATTGTGGACATCATGTTTAATTAAGAATCACTCTTTAAATAAATGTAAACTGTTAATCTAGAAATGTTGTTCTTTAATTTGAAGTTGTTCTCTGTTTGAGAACAACTTCAAGTTATACGTTTGTTCAGAAAATATGATTTGTACATGTTGACCTATTATCTGGGGTCACATGATGAGAATAATATTACATACTGTCCCTTTAAGTTGATTTGTTTTTAGGCTCTTGGGGGAAACATTATGACAGCGAGTCCCATCTCAGACCTGAACCCAGTGTTGATGTCTGCGGCGGCAAAACTCACTCTCAGAGACATAGGTAATGAACCAGGACTTTTTAGAACTACAACACATCTACATTATCTAGTTGAGACAACACTAGCTTTGCCCGAGCTCAAAGTAGTGGGCATTGTTGTGGCTTTCTCACAGTGAGACAAGCAGAGGAGCAGACACCCTATCAGCAATCCTGACTGGTGGAGACAGTGACAATGTATTAGTTGTCGTAAAGATGACCATCTCTCATCCCTGTCTTGTCTCCTGTGGTCATCCAGAGGGCTGCAGAGTGGTGCAGATGGACCAGGACTTCTTCACAGGATACAGACGGACACTGGTGCGACCTTCTGAAGTGCTTGTGAGCGTGGAGGTTCCATACAGCGCAGAGGTACAGCATGTAAACTACTTTTGTAATGAGTCCTGGCTAACAATATTTTCAGACCTCAGTTGCAAAAGGATCCAGCTTACATGCACATTCTATGAAGGATTTCTAAGCACTGGGTCCCAGTATCTACTGGGTATGCAATGCTGTATGGTACACAGATGTTTTGTTCAGAAAAACTATGAAAATGACTTGTTTGGTAAGGGGCCTTTTAGTAAGTCTTGTCTTTCTGGGCATTACTTTTTTGGCTCTGAGAAAGGCTTTCATGTTAAAACATAATTTTCAGAATTCTGAACAGAATCCATATTCTGTTCCACTGTCACAGGGTCAGTTTGTTCGGGCCTATAAAACATCTCGCCGACGAGAAGATGACATCAGCGTAGTGACAGCAACATTTACTGTGATTTTTGAACCTCGCTCGAGCCAGGTTCAGGACTTGAGGCTGGCTTTTGGAGGAATGGCTCCAACCACTGTCCTGGCCCTGAAAACACGGAACGCACTCAGAGGGAGGTGAGGCATAGAACCACAAACTTGTGTTCTTGGATTGTCAAACTCTATTCATTGTTTATTTAAAACTCCAAAATATATTAAAACATAATTTGAGCCCTAGAGGCCTGTAGTCATTGAAAGATTGAAATGTCAGATTGAGATTTGATAATAAATCTAAGGATTTAGCACCGACCTAATTTCTGTGATATGTGATTGGTGCTCAGGTCATGGGGGGAGGAGCTCCTGCAGTCTGCCTGCAGCTCATTGGCAGAGGAGATGACCCTCCAGCCCTCAGCTCCAGGGGGTATGGTGTCCTACAGGAGAACTTTAGTTCTGAGTCTGTTCTACAAGTTCTACCTCAGCGTCCTGCTAAACCTCAAAGAACAGGTCGGATCCATATATTCATCCTGCTGCAAAATAAATATAGATATATTGGCCAATTTTAAAAGAAATAATTCCATCTAGGATTTTGACAATTAGCAAAAGGATTTGTAAAACTGTCTTTAAAAGTGTCGTGCTTCAACTATTTCTTCTATTACTCAATTGTATTTATGTTGCAAAGAATTGACATTTCCTGATGCTGAAATGCAGGAAATGTCACAACCCAGCCACCCTCAGTCCAATGTTTAATCTTATTAACCTCGCGCAGTTTTTTAGGCATTATAACATCTCGTGGAAAAACAAGTAGCAAAATGTATATTGGACAACATTGTTGGAATGTTTTGGGTGAGTGGGCACCTGAGATTTTTAGTCCCTGACTCGCGAACCACTTCAGCAAACATATAGCTCCAGGATCAGATCACCTTGTTGCTCGTCGACATATCATACATTATACCTATTATGTTTGTATGTATGTGTGTGCGTGCGTTTGTGCGTACGTGTGTGTGTGCGTGCATGCATGTGTGCGTGCATGTGTGTGTGTGCGTGCGTGCGTGTGAACTTGGTGCACAGGGAGTGGAAGTGGAGCCGGTTCCTGCAGACTGTGTCAGTGCTACAGAAGTGTTCCACCCTCCAGCGCCCTCTAGTGTGCAGGTCTTTCAGGTACAGCCAAAAACTATAGCTACAGGTAAAACTCAGATTATTAGAATATCCTCAAGCTTGTTCTGAGCCAGAGGAAAAAGCACACGCGTGGTGTGTATTGTTCAATATGAAAATAATGTAATAAAGGTGTAATAGTGTAGTCAGGGTGTAATAGCAGTTCTTTCTACAGTTCTTTCACTTTTCTGATCTCCATAATGGCGCGACTCATCACATTACTTTTGATGTGTCAATCTTTTTTAGTTTATTTTTCAAATCTTATATTTAAAAAAAATAACCTGTTTCAGGACTTTATTGAACTTAAATTTATTTTTGTATAACCCTAAATCACAACAGTAGTAAGTTACGTAAGCTCTGACGTCATTTTACATGCTATGCCATATATTCGTTTCAGATTTTAAGTTGTATGCGAGAAATAGATCTACTCCATGATAGTCTAATTATCTGAGTTTTCACCTGTACATATATCACACTATGAAATCTACAGTATGGATAGTGATATTGAAACATGTAATCATCAATGTGTATAAAATTGAAATTATATAAATGATAATTTATACTCAAATTTGCATTACAACTCGATGCAAATAGTTTATATGCAAAACACAGATAAGTGCCATTACAACAAATATTTGAAGGACTTGCAGTTCCCCCTTTATCAAGTCGTTTTTTGAAAACTCAGATCTATTTTAGAGCCATGCCAATTAATTTTCACCCTACTTGAGTAATTCCTTTCAAATTAACTTCCAATAACAAAGTATTTTGAAGATAAGAGTACAATACAACTTTTTGACTGTTTTTCAAAATGAATATATATTTTTTTTCAACTCTTACTGTTCTCTCTGTTCTTATTCATTAACTATTGTATTAACATTATTGATTTTTAAATGTTTACTAAATGTAAATATTGTGACAATTACAAATTCATGATAAGACAAAGATAGCCGTTACAAACCTCCTCCCATCATTACAGTTTATGTGCAATGTTCCTTCCATCACAAAAACGGCACAGAGCAGCTTCAGTCCTGGCTCTAACCCTTTGGTTGCATTCACTAATTGTTGTGTGTGTCGGCGGTGTGCTGCAGGCGGTCCCCACAGGCCAGAGGTGCGAGGATGTGGTGGGACGTCCCCTGATGCATGTGAGCGCTCAGCAGCAGGCCACAGGAGAGGCTCAGTATTGCGACGACATCCCCATGCACGACAACGAGCTGCACCTCACGCTGATCTGCAGCACCAGGGCACATGCCAAAGTCCTGTGAGTCCTGGTAGATTTGAACATTGTATAGCGCTTTGGGTGCTCTTGGTCTGTAAAATGTGCTATATAAATAAATATTACTTAGTTACTTACTACAACTATTGCTACCACTACTACTACTACGACTACTACTACTATTAATACTACTACTACTACTTTTATTTTTTTATTTTTTTTTAATGCGCTGGAAAACGGCTGCAAGTCCAAGGTAGCTCTGAAAAAGTTGTTATTTTATGCTTCTGAATTTTTATTGTTTTATCTATTGTTTTTGCTCGAGAAATGTCAAATTCTGCACTTTGAGCCTTAATTTCACCCCCTGAACATGCATAAAAAGTTGTAAAATTTTGCCCAAACATTAGACCTGGTGAAAAATTTGATATTTTGGTGTTTATTTTTATGGGACTAAAAAAATGCCAGAACAGCGCCACCTACAACAGCCAATGGCAGTTTCAGAGGTCAAGTTTGTTGTAGAGCCATGAAATTCGGTACACATTCCTCAAGCCAAGATAAAAAAAAAAAATGTATCATGGCCCCGCCCTCTGACAAACAGGAAGCCCATAAATTTCACTGCATATGGAAAAATGATCCGCAATCATTTTCATACATGTCGGTTGGAAATCTTCTCCTCGGTCGTTTCACCGATTTGCCTCAAAATCTCTCCACATCATCTATCAATGGAAGAATGACTAACATTCTTCTATTGCTATGGGAACAAATTATCACACGGCGGCGCCACTTCCTTTGCGCGGTGCTGCGTGGTACAGTGTGGAACGGCAAAGTGCGGGGCGTTGTGGAGTGGCGCGTTGCGGCTTGGTGCGGGGCGGCGTGGCGCAGATCCGCTTGGTGCGGGGCGGCTTTGATTCAGATTCAGATTCAGTTTATTTGCCATTTGCAGTAAAAAAAACCACATTGGAATACATTAGCAAAAGTCTCCAGTGTGCACAGACAAATACAGACATAAAACAACATTAAAAGACAAAAATAAAACAAATAAAACAGTAAACAAATGTCACTGTGAAATCGATCGACTAAAACAGTTCAAAACAAGTGCAAATCATTAAAGTGCTCTGTTCACACTGATAACAGCTTGTGGATAAAAACTGTTAGCGTAACGAGATGTCCTGCATCTCAGAGAGCAATATCTTCTGCCAGAGGGAAGAAGCTGGAACATGGCTTTCCCAGGGTGGCCAGAAGAGTCATTGACAATCCTAAGAGCTTTGTTTAAAAGTCTGGATTTATAAAGAACCTCCAGAACAGGAAGCTCACAGCCCACGGTCCTCTTTGCAGAGCGGAGCACCTTGTTTAAAGATCTCTTTTCTTTATCTGTGATGTTTCCAAACCACACAGACACAGAACCAACAAGTAAACTCTCAATGGTGCAGCGATAAAAGTTAAGCAGAATCTTAGAGTTAGTGGTAAATTCTCTAAGTTTACGCAGAAAGTAGAGACGCTGACGAGCTTTCTTAACGACTGTGTGATTGTGTGGGGCGTCTTTGTGTGGGGCGGCTTTGTGTGGGGCGGGGTGGTGTGCGCGGTGCGGGGTGGTGTGCGCGGTGCGGGGAGTGCGCGCGGTGCGGGGAATTGCGCGGTGCAGGGAATCGCGCGGTGTGGCGAGGGCCGTTCGACGCCGCTTGCGGCTTTAATTTTTATTGCTTTTTTCTACCTGAGATGTTGGTGCAGCACAGTGTTCGTGGTTTTGCACTGGTCCAGACCAGAGCGGAGAGGATTCATGGTCTGAACCAAGCGGATCAGGTGAAATTCCACTGGAGGAATGCAAACTTTTAGAAAAATGCTAATGAAGCATTTGGCATTTTACTCTGGACTAGAGCAGAGAAAATGGTCCGAACCAAGCAGCTACTCCACCTTGTGACCTGTCCTGCTCCACCCAGTGGTTACTCCATCTCTGTTGCTGTGACCTGAAGGGCTGTTGCTGATTATTACTATTTTTCAACTTTGTAGAATGCTACTGGACATCTGAATTTCTCCTACGGGGATCAATAAAGTATCTATCTATCTATCTATCCATCCATCCATTCATCTATCACTATTGCTACTACCGCTACTACTACTACGACCACGACTACTACTACTACTGTCACTACGATATTACTACGACTCAAGATGAGGAAAATGGACAAACAATGGGAACTACAAATAATTCTACTACTAGTACTATTATGGCTACTACCACTGTTACTATTAGTTCTACTGCTACTACTACTACTACTATTACTGCTTGTTCAACCTGGAAAGACAAACGGATGCACTGAACTATGTTTATTGAGAAGAAAAAAATGTGGACTCTTCCTGTAAATGTAAGACAGGCTTCTACTCTGACGATGTTCAAATCCAGGTTCAAACCAGGTTCAAACCATTCTGTTTAGCTGTGCATACAACTGAAGGGATACATCTGCTCTTTTTTCATGGATCAACTGTTATTATCTTGACATGTTTTATTAGTTTGGTGTTTCATTTCTCGTTATGTAAATCCCTGTGAATGAATCGTGCCATTCAACCAAACATACCTTGCCTAAATTAAATTATTGGTGGATTTTAGAAAATAAACATCCTTCCTCATTTTTCCTTATTTAAAATTGATCTATAAGGTCACTCCATGTATTAGTTAAGTGAAATTTGAGACATTTTGAAGACGCTATAAAAGGATCAATATGAACAAAGAAGGATAACAAGGAGGTACTTTTTATGAATTTGCATGTAGCCTAGTCTTGACACGGTTTTCCTCTGGTTCAGGTCTATTGATTGCTCAGAAGCCAGGGCGATGCCAGCTGTGGTCTGCATTCTGCTCGCGGAGGATGTGTCTGGATCCAACCGGACTGGTCCCATAGTCTATGATGAGACCGTGCTGGCCCAGGGAGAGGTGAGTCCAGAACTAGAACCTGAATCTAAAACTGAAAACCCCTGAGTTTGTATGTGTGTGTAGGTGACATGTGTGGGTCATGTAATCGGGGCAGTCGTTGCGGAGACTCAAGCTGACTCCCAGAGAGCTGCCAAGTCCGTCAAGATCCAGTATCAGGATTTGCCAGCCGTCATCTCCATTCAGGTACTAGGTTTTAATTAGGTATAAACCTGACTCAGACCTGATTCATTGGTCATTTTACAGGAAGCAATAGAGAGTCAATCATTCTATCAGCCAATCAGGACAATTCAAAAGGGAGATCTGGAGGCGGGCTTTAAGCAGGCTGACCACATTGTGGAGGGTAAGTGTCAATCAGGGCGACAATCGATCTCATCAGACGAGAAATGTCACATTTTATAATGTTAAACTTAATAAAACAACACGATTTAGTCTTTGGTTGTTTAGATTACATTGAAGTCGACCTAATTATGTATTAGGTTTTAGTGTTTATGTATATATTATGAACATTTTAAGGATCTATGCGAGAAAATTACAACAACAAAAAAAGAATAGATGGAACCAGTTTGCAGAAGATTTTGTATTCATTTCAGTTTTAAGCTTCAAGTAAGAATCTACTTTTATCGTTTGTTTATCTGATTTTAAGATCATTAGAATGTAAAATGGATAAATACTTTTACTTGAATCCATTTCCATTACAACAAAAGGTACCTCTTTTTGATAACTGAATCTTAAGTTACCTAAGTTATTATTTACTATTTTTTACAACGATTGTGATGATTATTCATTCATCTACTAATCTTCTCATCTGTAGATCACACGTTATTGATATCGTTCTACTAACACGCTTCTTCTCCTCTCCTCTCATTGGCCACCGTCACCAGGGGAGCAGCACATAGGGGGGCAGGAGCACTTTTACCTGGAGACAAACGCCACAGTGGCCGTACCCCGAGACCAGGACGAGATCGAAGTCTTCAGCTCCACACAGTCTCCATCCAAGACCCAAGTCAGTCCAGACCACATTACGAAACAAACTCTAGTCTCAACACAAAATTAAAGCATCTCAGCAGTCTTCTTTTTCCACACCGCACACTTATGTCGCCAAACACATGCATTCAATCTACATGGGCAGACACATCTTGCATGTGCAAATTGATTTCAGTGTATTTGACAAGTCTTCGCTGGCTTTAATAAACTGTGGAACACATTCTGAAAGACCAGCACACAACAATTGAGTGAGTGAGAATAGAGAAATGTCATCTCATGATGAGAGATACAAAGGCTGAAGAGATATTTGAGAATCTGTCATCTGTGAGATGGGAGAACTGTGGTTTGGTATATTGCACAAATAACGATAGTGGCAAAATTAAGGATCGTTTTTATACTAAAAATCAAATTTGAAGCTGCATCTGCTAAATTTATGTTATTGCTCTAAGCCAAAAAGGAAATTAATATTTCAACTTTGTGCCTACTTGGGTTTTGTGCTTTGTTCTAAAAAAAAAAATCTAGTGTATAGATATGTATAATTACTATTGTTCATATTTGTGCTTCGTACAATGTGATTATGAGAAAATCTCAATAAATGAAAAGATACAAAGATAACAAACAATATTATTAAGTTCTAAAATATTTCTACCAAGCTTTGAAACAATGCTATGGAAAAATCATGGTCTAATCCAGGATTATTCAACTCTGTCGTCAAATGGCTGGGTCTTGTTTGAGGCCCTATACCATTTCATTAATTTAGTCTTAGTACAGACCTTACAAGAACTCGAAGCCACCCTGTTTGTGCTCAGTCCCTTGTGGCCAAAGCTCTGGGAATCCCGTCCAACCGAGTCCACGTCAGAGTGAAGCGGATGGGAGGAGGCTTCGGAGGAAAGGAGTCCAGAACCACCATCCTGTCCACAGTAGTGTCCCTCGCTGCACACAGGTCAGATGCAACAGCCTTTTGGTCACTTTTCTTACTGGATTATAACTTGATTTCATGTCTCAGGTTGCGGCGTCCTGTGCGCTGCATGTTGGACAGAGACGAGGACATGTTGGTGACTGGAGGACGTCACCCATTTTACGCCAAGTACAAGGTCAGTCCTACACACTGACGTTTTCTGGGAAATGGTGTCTGTGAACCCAGAAAACAAGTTAATGGAGTCTCAGTTCTAACTACAAACTGTACATAATAATGATGCATCGGTTTTATATAGCGCTTTTTTGGGCACTCAAAGGCGCTTTACATGTCATTAATCTTGCACTCCATGGACGGTGGTGATAAACTACCACTGTAGCCACAGCTGCCCTGGGGCACACTGACAGAAGCGAGGCAACCAGTATGTGCCATCGGCCCCTCCGACCACCACCAACCTTTCACACACACACCAGACTCATTCTAGGCAATGGGGGTGAAGTGTCTTGCCTAAGGACACAACGGCAGTTTGGCGCTTTACAGCCGCAGCCGCCCCACTGTGGCTGGTGTTCCCAGAGGTTAAGTGTCTTACCAAGGACACAACGAAAGCAGACAGTGGGAGTTGATGGTGAAAGTCTTGAGGTGGGCTCGAACCCACGGCCTTCTGGCTCAAAGGCCAATGCTCAACCAACTGAGCTACTGTCGCCCTTAAACTATCTGTAACTGTGTGTTCCACAAGGGAGGTAATTGAAACTGGAAAATAATCAAATTACAGCGCCTCTCGAAACTACTAATATACCTTGAACTTTTGCACATTTTGTCATGTTTACAACCATAACATAACGATTTTAATTTGATTTGTTATTTGGATGGAACGCTCAGGACAATTAGTGAGATGATTTACGCCATACAGCCCCACTGAAGCATGAGGCAGAATGTAACTGTATGGAGTCAATAGAAATAAGGAATGCTTCTAAATCAGAAGGAATATTAAAAGCCTTATTCTAGATTGTATAAGGAGTAGACCAACACACACGAGCTAACTCAAACAGGCAAGATGAGTGGGATTCTGGAGCCAAATTTGTGGGTAGCAACGACCAAGCAACCAAAGGAAGCTGTTTGTTCCATGGTTTCTGGTTTCAGGTGGGCTTCTCTGAGTCTGGCAAGATTCTGGCTCTGGATGTCACCTTCTACAGTAATGCGGGAAACTCCATGGACCTGTCTCTGTCTGTGAGTCCACAACAAACCACACCCAACCAGACGCTGACCCTCAAATTATTCTCACATCCTTTTTGTACTAATTTAAAAAGTTGTAGCTGAAGGACTTTTTCATGTATGTATTTCCCTCCTCTACTTGCAGCCATTCACTGCTACAAAAGCTTAAATTATGGCTTTTGATGTTTTGAATTCCATGCATTTAATGATTTGCTAATGATACAAGCAGTCTTATTTCAAGTTTATTTGAAAATATCTATTCTTTTAATTCTCATGAATGTTCCTGTCTCTCATGGTTGTCCCACTGGCAAATCTCATTTAAAGAAGTCAAAATCTACTCAACATAAGAGACAGTTCCCCTACTGTGGTCACTTTTTGCAGTGTTGGGAGTGTCTCAATAGCCAAGATCCTTGTCTTCAAAACCACTTTGACGTCATGTGAAATTCATTACTACTAATTGATTACTACATGAAAAAACATTGAAAAGTCGTTATCTTCACCTTGCAAAGCCTGTAGTTATTTTAAATACATTTGGATACATCCAACTATCTCATTGTCTCAGCTCTTCCCCCTGGTCCTCAGGTGATGGAGAGGGCTCTGTTCCACATGGAGAACTCGTACCTGGTGCCAAACATTCGGGGACGTGGTGTTGTGTGCCGGACCAACCTCCCCTCCAACACAGCCTTCAGGGGCTTCGGGGGGCCGCAGGGCATGATGGTCTGTGAGGACTGGATCACAGCCATTGCCCTGAAGCTGGGGAGGCCCACTGAGCAGGTCCTGGCTCTCATTACAATACACGTGCTTTAGACCTCTTGTATACTTTTTTTTTGTTATTCCAGGTTTATTTTTCAACCCACTACAAAAGAAAAAAACACAATTTAATGTAACTAGTTCACTCTTGAAACCGCTCTATTAACGGCTTATTAACCGAGCGCGAGGTCTGTATGGAGAAATATCAGACCGTGGCCTTAATGTACAGAGGGAGGCGAGGTCTGTGCAAAAAGGCCAAGGTCTGATATTTCTCTGTACAGACCAAGCAAGCGAGGTTAATAAATGTTTTATTATATGACTCTCGTCTGTGTCTTTACCAATGCTTTTGAGATATTTGTGAAGTATGTTCATGTCCGACTTGGTTTTGTGTGATACGGGCTGTGGACCGATTGTCATGGTAACGGTCCGTGGAAAGAAATCAAATGTGATACGCGTTGTTCGGACCAATTGTCATGGTAACGGTCCCAGATGGGAAAATATCAGACCGCAAATCAACCAATCAGAGCGCGCGTACGTTCCAAGTCATACAATAACACTGGTTATCACACTGCACGTGATCTTTAGATCAACTTTTTCAAACAGAGAAGTGAAATAAGAGACATGATTGTAAGATTCAGGAAAGAATAAGGTTGAGTACCCCAGCTTTAAGACTGTCAAATCTTAATCAATTTAAACAGATAAAAGGAAAAATGATTTTAAATGATGATGAATGATGATGATGAAAAATTACGAATCTATTATGCACACTACCCGGTCCAGAGATCTTACTGAGTGTCGTCCAGCTTTGGAGTACTACAAAGTTACCATTCCTCAGTAGTCCTGCCAGTACAAGCTTGTGATTCATACTCGATTAAAACCTGGTCCAGTCCTGGTCCTGACTTGTCTGCTCTGGATTAGATCCGGGAGCTGAACCTGTACTCTGAGGGGGACCGTACACCTTATAACCAGCTGCTGGAGGGATTCACTCTGCAACGCTGTTGGGACGAGTGTTTGATTCGAGCCAAGGTCCAGGAGAGACGAGCCCACATCCAAGAATTCAACAGGTCGAATCTCCAATCATTCACAAGAACTTGCTCTGGAATCTTGTATGAACGTGTATATTATTAACAGGGCTAATTGGTCTGTTGTTCTGCTCTTAGACAAAACCGCTGGACCAAACGCGGTCTTGCTGTGGTTCCCACAAAGTTTGGTATCGCGTTCACTGCAACCTTCCTTAACCAGGTCTGAAATCTCCCTCATATGTGTTTAGCCCTGAATTAGTCTGGGTCTCAAGGCTCAGGCCCAATCTTAGTTTAGGTTAGATTCATCTAGTCTTCTTAGTAGAATTCAAAGTATTTGGTTCCACTATATCAGACAATAGCAAGCCTAATCTTGGTCTAATTTTAGGCCGGAGCTCTGGTCCACATTTACACTGATGGCTCGGTTCTTTTGGCTCATGGAGGGACTGAAATGGGCCAAGGACTTCACACCAAGATGATCCAGGTACTAATCAGACCAGGTAAAGGGTTGTATGGTTACACACATTGGCCTTTGTCTGTCCTCAGCAGTGCTGTGTCATTTGTTTTGTTTTACTCTCTCTCTCTCTCTCTCTCGCTCTCTCTCTCTCTCTCTCCTCTCTCTCTCTCTCTCTCTCTCCTCTCTCTCTCTCTCTCTCTCTCTCTCTCTCTCTCTCTCTCTCTCTCCTCTCCTCTCTCTCCTCTCTCTCTCTCACTCTCTCTCCTCTCTCTCTCCCTCTCTCTCTCTCTCATCTCACTCCGCCTCTCTCCGCTCTCTCTCTCTCTCTCTCTCTCTCCCAGATCTCCCCTCCGTATCTATCTCTCACTCTCACTCTCTCTCCCCCAGTCTCCTCCACTTCTCTCTCCATCTGCACTCCTCAGATGACTCTCTCTCGTCCTCGCTCGCTCACGCATCTCATCCTCGCACTAATCCGGGCTCCTCCTTTCTCCCTCTCCATCCTCTCTCTCCAGGACTTCAATCTTCTCCTGTCGTCTCTCTCCGCACTCCGCCTCCCCTCCTATCTCTCATCCTCTCTCCCTCCTCTCATCACCCTATCTCCTCTCTCCTCCTCTCGTCTCTCTCTCCCCTCTCTCTCACCTCTCTCTCGTCTCTCTCGTCTCTCCACTCTCTCTCCTCTCACTCTCTCTACTCTCAAAGGATCTCTCTCTCTCTCTCTACAGTCCTCTCTCTCATCTCATCTCTCTCCCTCTCATCCATCCTCACCGCTCTCCGCACCTTCTCTCTCTCTCTACTTCATCTCCTCTCCACTCTCTCCTCCTACTCCTCTACTCCCTCTCTCTCCTCCTCCACTACTCTCACCTCTCTCTCTCGCCATCTCCGCTCCTCTCGCGCCCTCCTCTCGCTCTCATCTCCACACTCCTCTCCTCTCTCCTCCTCTCTTCCTCTCCTCCCCCTCATCCCCCTCTCCTCCAACCCATCCCATCCTCCACTGCCCTCTCCTCCGCCTCTCTCTCTCTCTCCCCTCTCTTCGCCGCTCTCTCCTCTCCCACACGCCTCGCGCCTCTCCTCTCTACCCTCCACTTCCTCTCCCCCTCTCCTCACTCGCACCGCCTCGATCTCTCCTCTCACACACCTCTGTCTCCGCCATCCTCGTCTCTCTAACGCTCCTCACTCTCCTCCCTCGTCTCTCCCCTCCCCCTCTCTCGCTCCGCTCACTCTCTCCCTCTCCCTCTGATCTCCAATCCCCCTCTCATCCTCTCGCTCTCTCACTCGCTCATCTCCCTAACTCGCTCCTCTCCCCGCCTCTCTCGCCCGCACTCTCTCACTCCCGGCAGTCTCTCCTCACCGCATCCTCTCTCTCTCTCGCTCTCACTCCTCTCTCGCTCCTCTCCTCTCCTCTCACTCGCTCTCTTCCTCTCCTGCGCTCTCCTCTCCTACTCCTTCACTCCCGCGTCTCTCCTCTCTCCTCATCCACTCCGTCTCCTCTCTCTCCTCACCGCTCCTCTCTCTCTCCTCCTCTCTCTCGCTCACGCCTTCTTCCTCTCTCTCCCTCGCCTCCCTCTCCGTCTCACCTCCATCTCTCTCCGCATCTCTCCCGCACGGCGCTCACCCCCGCATCTCTCCTCTCCCTCTCTCTGCCCTCCGTCTCTCTCCGCTCTCTCCACCCATCTCGTCCGTCTCTCTCCCGCTCTCCTCCTCTCTCCCCCCCTCTCTCCTCTCCTCTCTCCCTCTCTCCTCTCCACTCGCCCTCTGCTCTCTCCTCTCTCCTCTCGCTCCTCTCCTCATCCTCCTCTCTCTCTCCTCTCTCCACTCCCTCTCATCCCCTCCTCTCTCTCGCCTCCCTCTCTCGTCCTCGCCTCTCCTCCATCTCCTCTCATCCTGCTCCTCCCTCTCCCCCGCCTCCTCTCCCCTCCTCCTCTCTCTCTCCACCATCATCCCTCCCTCTCCCCCTCTCTCTCTCTCTCCACTCTCTCCTCCCTCGCTCCTCTGATCCTCATCCTCCCTCCTCCCCGTCGCGCCCCCCTCTCTCGACACATACATCCTCCTCTCACCTCCCTCCTCTCCGCGAGGTCCCTCATGTCACTCTCGCCCTCCCTCTTCCCTCCTAAACTCACCGCTCTCGCAATCTCTCTCGATCCACTCCTCTCTCCATCCCGTCGACCGCAGCCCCTCTCCACTCCTCTCCCGCCGCGTCTCTCACTCCGCCCTCCGTCCTCCTCTCCCTCTCTCATCCCTCTGGTCTCTCGTCCCACTGTCGCTCCTGCTCGCCGCATCTCTCTCCTCCCTCCCCCCCCCTCCCCCTCATCTCTCTCCTCTCTCGCTACCAATCTCTTCCGATCTCCCCATCATCTCACGCCCTCGACTCTCCCCCTCGCTCTCCGCACGCCCCTTCTCCTCTCCTCCACCTCCTCCCTCACGTCCGCTCTCTCCCATACGCTCGCCACTCAATGTCTTCTCATCCCCTCGCATCTCCTCCACGCTCCTCTGTCCTCCTCCGCCTCTCCTCCCTCTCTCTCTCGTTTCTCCTCTCTCCCCCACTCCCCACTAGCCACTCTCAGCTCCCAGTCTCGCTCTCTCTCACAAGCTACAGCTCTCAGCTCTATCTACGACCTCTCCTCTTCCATAGCGCGCTCCCTAAAATCCTCGTCCAGACGCCTCCTCGTTCTTCTCTTCTCTCCCCCTCTCATCTCTCCACTCCCACAGCCCTCCAATCTCCCGCTCACCCGGGCCTACGCCCTACTCTCTCTGATCGTCTGTCTCCCAAATACTGTTGCATCGTCCTTCCTCTCACCCCTCCTCCTCACTCTCCCTCTCTCCCCCCGCCTTACTCACCATCCATCCAACTCTTCTCTCACTACCTCTCCTCCTCTCTCTCGCCCTCGCCGCCAGTCAATTCCTCATCTCCCTCCATCTCGACCTCCTCGGTCTCAATCGACGCTGCTCTTCTCTCGCCTCTGCTCCTCTCCTTCTCTCCTCTCAATCACTTCGAGAATCCCCATCCGTCCGAGATCTTCTCAATCTCGCTCTCGCGTCAACCGACTCCCGCTCCCTCTCTCTCATATCCCCCCGACCTCTCTCTCACTCTCCTCTCAGCTCCTCGGCTCCTCTCTCCAAACCCTTCTCGCCAACTCCGTCCCCATCCGCCAATCACTCCTCTCTCAGTCTCCCAGTCTCCACCGGCTCCCTCACTAGCGTCTCCACAATCACCCCTCTCCTCCCCGCCACCGTCCTTCTCCCTCCCCGCTCAACACTCTCCCATCGTCTCCCTTCTGATCTCGCTCTCCAGTCGTCACTCCCACGCACTTAACCTCGTCCTCTCTTCTTTCCTCTCTCTCTCTCTCTCTCTCTGCAGTGTGCAGCAGAGCTCTGGGTGTTCCTGGTGACAAAGATCCACATTTGTGAGAACAAGCTCTCACTCTGTGGCTAACACCAGTCCGACCGCGGCCTCTGCCTCGTCAGACCTGAACGGAGCCGCCGTCCTCAAAGCGTGTGACATCCTGAACCAGAGACTGCTGCCCTACAAGGACCGGGACCCTCACAGGCACCTGGGAGAGCTGGGTAAGGGCTAGACCACAAGGTTCATGGGCCTATACTTACCCCCAGCACCATGTTTCAGTTGTACAACAGAGAAAGTTTTAATGAAAACTGTTATTTCCAGTTGTAAGCACTAAATTGCTAAAATCAAAAAGGACATTCATAATTATTATTAGTATTATTATGTTTTCTGTGCCAATAAGTATGTAATCTACAGATTAAGTTTAAAATCTTTGAACATTTATACTGTATTGAATTTATTACATGAATTCAATACAGTATCAATATTGTGTATTTGTGTCGTAAAGTTTCAACAGGTATTATAAGTGACCATAAAACGGTTTAATATTACCCTCGTATCAAACAACCAATAACTTAAATTTGACTGAGTCACAAGTTAATCTGTACGAGTATGACAGCAAAGTATGTCAGACATGGCTCTAAAGATGATTAATAAAAATTAGAAATATTGGAAAATAAGTCGATTTTCATTGACATGTACTGTAGGAACTCGAGAGTTTAATGATCTTATATTATATAAAATATGAAGGGTTTGACAAATTCTTCTAGACAGTAGGTCCTGTATATAAAAGAGTATTAATAGCCACTACTTTTTCAGGTGAACTGCCGGCGGAACTACGACAAGAGTGAATCTTAGTGCACAGAACGGCTTCTACAGTCAGAACATCCAAATATCACAAGTATTGAACAAAGGACTTTAGGGAATGTTTTCAACAATGTATTTTACTTTCAGGTGTTCAGATTTCCATATTTTTGACTTTCCAGGACTTCCAGATCTGGGCTATATGACGTTGAGAACCAAACTCGCCCGCGCCTTTAACGAGTTCCAGTTAGGATCTGCTGCAGGTGGAGGTGGAGGTGGACCTGTCGCACTGGAGTTCATAAGGTTTGTGCACAGCAACACTCTGAAAACACATCTTAATCCGGTGTTTTTCCATTCAATGGAATATTTTGTGCAGAATCTGAGCATCCACCTAGTGTGATGGACGTGGGGTGGGCCACACAAGCCTGAATCCAGGCTATAGAAACACATATCAGATAAGAGTGAATGATATGTTTGATCACGTATTAGGGGATGACAAAAAAGCCTCAAGCCAGAAGAGGCCATCAGTCTGTGGGAACAGAAGGAATGCCAAGTCAAAGGACACAGTCAGATCGGTGTTCAAAATATTGTTTTTCTTTTTGTTTTTTTTCTTTCATCTTCAATCTTACACTATTATTGGGTTATTTGTATACTATTATTTAGGTAAGGGGGGAATGTGTGTGTGAGGGGTAAGGGGGGGGGGGGGGGGGGGGGGGGTATATAAAAGGAGCTATAAATT